CCGCCGTACAAGCAACCTTTCGAGGAACACACAAGTCCTTATCCTACTCTAGGCGAGATGCGCGACGTGGTGGTGAATCGAAAGCTTCGCCCAGAGTTTCGTCCTGAGCTTTCGAAGCACCCTGTGGGTTCCATCTCGCTAGCCCATTTTTTGATATTTCCTTTCAGTAATTAGTAACTTTCTTTAGCGTTCCTAAAACTATCTTCTTCAGGTGGGAGGTGCAATTGAATATACTATTTGCGACATGTGGCATACTATAGCTGATGGACGAATCACGGCTAGCCTAGCACGCGAGCGAATCAACGCCATGAATGGCTGCGATTCACAAGGTTCTGAAGGATATCATTCGAGTAGTGGTTAGTAGCGTTTCTGTAGACTCCTATGTTTGCTCTTTAAGAAAATGGTGTGTTAGTAGAGCTATTTTCTTATGCCATGGACTTAAACGTGATTTTGGAACTCACGAGTTTTTTTTTTGCGGTTTTATAAGCATGAAGTTCCGCAGGTCATAGACAGGCGGAATTTGTCATTTTAGACCACGTCAGCAAGTTATTCTTACTTGAATTTTTTTTCTTGAAGATCACAATCGGAAGGTCTCAATGGCATCATCAGTATGTGGGGATGGTGTCTGCGTTCCAGCCGAAGTTAGCACGAGCAGCGCTTGCTTCCACCCCGAGGCGGACGAAATCCAGCGAGAGCGATGATGCTGTTGCAAGCGGTGACGCTTTCCCGCCGCCATCCAGCTAGGAGACTGTCTAGCAGTTGCTAGCACTACATAGTTGAACCCTTGATCAGGACAGAGACACCGAAGATGCGTCAGTCATCGTTCTCCTGATGTAGTGCCGAATATTTCCCATAATGTTCCGTCAATGCATAGAACTCAAATGATCTCCTTCTGAAGTAACAAGTTAGGCTTAAAACGGTGGTCATGTACTGCTCATGCCCGTGTTTTGCTCACGAGTTTACCTAAAACTGGTTTTAGCTGGACTGGACTGTCTCATTTTCCCAACCAATCCCTAACTAAGAGATCATATAGGTTGATTGGTTTGATTTGAAAGGAACGTTCTGACTAATTTATTTCATACAAATTTTATGAGGTAGAAGACGTGGTCATAATAAATAACGGGTCTAACTTAATTTGTACATCTCTTCATCGCTATCACCCATAACATGGAGATCGCTGGCAAAGTGCCAGAAACACCCCGCTTGTTCAGGTAGTCTGAATCTTAACTAGCATCAATCAAGTTTAGTTTCCGTGTGAAATGGCAATATTACCTTGTATATAGTTGTATATATTAGTGCTGGTTGCTTTTGTTTTTCGCTCTTCACCTCATGATTGATTTTATCGATTAAATCCGATCCCTAAAGATTTCTATTCGATATCCTCTCAAATAATTTCCTCATTCAGGTGACTTTCAGCTGTTATTTTTTTTCTAACATAACCATGATTTAAATTTTAGGTCGAGGCGAGCATTCTTATTCTTGAATTAATTTTTTT